GACAGGCTCGTATAACCCCACTACTTAAGAAACCCACCCTTAACCCATCTCTTTTAGAGAATTACAGACCGGTTTCCCTTCTTCCTTTCATTGCAAAAACACTTGAATGAGCTGTGTTCAACCAAGTCTCTGCCTTTCTCACAGAACAACCTCCTACACAGCAACCAGTCTGGTTTCAGAAGTGGACATTCAACCAAAACTGCCTTGCTCTCAGTTGTTGAAGCCCTAAGACTGGCAAGAGCGGATTCCAAATCTTCAATACTTACCTTGCTGGATCTGTCTGCTGCTTTTGATACGGTTTACCACCAGATCCTCCTGTCAACCCTATTGGCAAAGGGCATCTCAGGAACCACACTCCAGTGGTTTGAGTCTTACCTCTCAGATAGGTCCTTCAAGATATCTTGGAAGGGTGAGGTGTCTAAGTCACAACATCTAACTACTGGGGTGCCTCAGGGCTCAGTTCTTGGACCACTTCTCTTCTCTGTCTACATGGCATCACTAGGTTCTGTCATTCAGAAACATGGCTTTTCATATCCCTGCTATGCTGATGACACTCAACTCTCCCTCTCATTCCATGCTGATGATCCGACGATAGCTGCTCGCATCTCAGCTTGTCTAACAGACATTTCTTGCTGGATGAAGGACCATCACCTTCAACTCAGCCTTGCCAAGACATAACTGCTTGTGGTTCCATCAAATCCATCGTTTCATCACAATTTCACCATCCAGTTAGGCACATCAACCATAACTCCTTCAAAAACAGCCAGAAACCTTGGAGTTATAATTGATGACTTTCTCAGACCACGTTGCTTAAACTGCCCGGTCCTGCAGATTTGCTTTATTCAACATCAAGATCATCAGGCCCTTTCTTTCAGAACATGCTTCACAACTCCTTGTTCAAGCTCGTGTTCTGTCCAGGCTGGACTATTGCAATGCTCTCTTGGCAGGTCTTCCAGCCACTTCTTGATGGCTGTTACTTTTAGGTTTTCTGTGTTTAATAGTTTTCATTGTTTTATTTAGTTTATTTTTTAATTTGAATATTTAGAAATTTAATTTAATTAGGTTTTTGTGATTTATGTTTTAGAATTAGGGTTAGCCATAAAAATAAAACAGTTATATCAGTTTTTTCAAGCTTTGACAATATTAGCTCGGAAATTACTCATAATTACTCATTTACGCACCAATGCAACAATACATATGTTGCAAACAGCAATATTTACGCAACGTATATTTGCTAACAATATATTCTATTTTAGAATTAAAATATATTACTAAAATTTGTATTTAGTCATAAAATATTATTTTATAATATAAAATAGAACTGATTTGTGGCTAATCGGACTATTCAAATCAGTGTTGTTATTGTTAACTCTTTTTTTAATTGTTGTTGCATTTTAATTTTTAATGCAGGTGGGTTGTAAAATTTATAACCTTTACAACACATTCTAAATTAAAAACTGTAAAATTTGTATTAATAAAACTGTATTTAATTTAATTTAATTTTTTTCACTTTTTATTTTTATTTCACAATGTTTTTTAGTCAACATTTTTTTGCTTTTTTTTTTTTACCATGGTACCATGGCAGAAACGAGCCTGAGTATGCAAGAAGGCATTGAAGTTACTTTTACATGTTTCTTCTTTTAAATGTAAACTGAATATATTCGTGCAGCTAGCTTATAAACATGTCCTGGTTCTTGTTTTGAGAGCTCAGTTGAATCTTTCTTCTGAATGACCGCTTATGTAAAAATCCCTGCAAACATGATTTATATGTGGTTTATAGAGTCATAGGCAGGAAACATTATTTGTTAAAAGTAGGTGATGATGTGCGGCCCCTGTCCTGCTCGGGTAAGTCAGGGGTTTGCTTTTATATCCTGCAGCTGGTGAGCTCTTAGCTGTGATTACAGGAGAAAAAAGACAATGCCTGTCGATGAGACATCAGTGAGAAGAACACTTTCCAAAACTGTAGGGCTGCTTCAAATTTTCACAAACTGTTTGTCATTATATGTGTTCACCTGTCTGCAGGAGTCTTCAGCAGCTGCTGGAGTATGAGGGCGATGTGGAGGAGACCTTCTGTCTGAACTTTGCAGTAAGTTGCTGGACACTAAACTAAATACAACCCCTCAAATTAGGCCACGTCAAGTCAAGAGCGTTTGTCTGATTAGAGGAATATCACTGATAATTCATATTATGATTGAAGAAAGTCACTGCTTTAGTAAATAAATTCAACTGAACCTGTCCTTGATATCACACACATGCTGCCAAGACGGTTATTTGATGTGTGCGCTTTTAATCTGGAAGATGAAGAGCGTTTGCTCATTAGCCATATGTCCCGTCAGCGTTTCCTGTTGGATGATGGAATGACATTCAACAGATGTTTTTTGGTTTATGATGTACAATTAGGGAAGGGCGATAAAAATAAAACAACTCTATCTCAGTATTTTCCAAGTTTTGGCAATATTAGCTCTGAACTGGCTAATGAATTTGTTATTTTTATTATAATTTTATATTAAAATAAAAATGTATGTTTAATATTAAATTAATATATACATAACTATAGATATTTAATCATAATGTAACAATATAACAACACATGATAGTAAACAGTAATATTTACACAACATGTAAATTGAATCAAATATATTATTTTTAGTAATAACATTTTATTTCATAATATAAACTAGAACTGATTTGTAGCTAATAGGACTTTCCAAATCAGTGTTTTATTGTTAACTAAAACTAAAACTGTGAAAAATCATTTTTGGTAATTGAAGAAAAAAGTAATTAAAATTAATAAAATATTAAATGTACAACTTGCATTATAAAAATAGAAATATATGAAAATTTCACATGTTGCCTTGGTAAATTACTGAAATAAGTTTACATTGAAGTACTAAAATGAATTGAAATAAAAATAAATTAAAGCTAAATGACCGAATAACAGAATGACCAAAACTTACACTAAAATTTAAATGAAAACTTATAATGTAAAAAAGCCAATTCAAAATATTAATAAATAATATAATAGAATGTAAAAATACTAAAATAATGCTGTTCCAAATATATCTAAAATTTTACAAATGAACATATTAAAATATATCTATCCAAAACTGTTTTTGTGAAACTTAAATGTTCAAAATAACACTCTAATATTACTGTGATATTCACAATGTGGCTTTATTTAAAGAGATCGTTAACACAAAAATTAAAATGTAATTATTTTCCAAACCTGTGTGAATTTCTTTCTTCTGCTCAACACAAAAGAAGATATTTTGAAAGATGTAGGTAACCAAACAGTAGCTGGTAGCCACTGGTACTTTTTCCTTACTATGGAAGTCATTGGCTACCAGTAGCTGTTTGGTTACCAACATCCTTCCAAATATCTTCTTTTGCTTTTAACTGAAGAAAGAAATTCCTGCAGGTTTTGAACAGCGTGCAGGGAGAATAAATGATGTCAGAATTAGAACTATGTCAGAACTATCCCTTTAATAGCATCAACAACATTTTTGCATATATACTGTAAATATTCAATACATCACCCAACCCTGTTTGAAATGTGAATCTGCACTTTTTAATATGTTTATCAGATATTTGTGCACAAATGTGGAATAGCGATTCTTTCCCTGTGGAATGTGTCGTCGACGTACTTACTGGGATGAAGGGAAAATTGTGTTCCTAAATGACAAAATGTAACAACTGTGACCACAGATTACGAGAGAGTATTACGGGATAACGGAGGTTAAAGAGCTGGTACAGGGCGGGAAGACCATCGCTGTGGACAAGACAAACAGGTGTGTGTGTGTCTCTTTAAATAAAGGTCTGAAAGAGGTCATGTGTCTGTGAGAGTGAGTGTGTGTGTTGTCAGTGGGGACAAAATTGCAAGGTTTCGGAAGCTGCAGGAACAGATGGGACCGCACACAAATCCAAACAATCCAAAACACAAATCCAGACCTGCATATATACTGTAAATATTCAATACATCACCCAACCCTGTTTGAAATGTGAATCTGCACTTTTTAATATGTTTATCAGATATTTGTGCACAAATGTGGAATAGCGATTCTTTCCCTGTGGAATGTGTCGTCGACGTACTTACTGGGATGAAGGGAAAATTGTGTTCCTAAATGACAAAATGTAACAACTGTGACCACAGATTACGAGAGAGTATTACGGGATAACGGAGGTTAAAGAGCTGGTACAGGGCGGGAAGACCATCGCTGTGGACAAGACAAACAGGTGTGTGTGTGTCTCTTTAAATAAAGGTCTGAAAGAGGTCATGTGTCTGTGAGAGTGAGTGTGTGTGTTGTCAGTGGGGACAAAATTGCAAGGTTTCGGAAGCTGCAGGAACAGATGGGACCGCACACAAATCCAAACAATCCAAAACACAAATCCAGACAAAAAAAAACATGTAAATGCACATACATTTGTGATGTATGAAGAATTGTTGCTGCATTCAAGGTTACATTTCAGGAAAAACATTAAGTGGAGATTGTATGGAAAGGAAAATGTTTTAAGAAAATGGTATTTGTTTGAAATATGCATGCGTGTTTTATTTGCGTGTCATGTTATTGTGTGTGTGTGTGTGTGTCCTGCTGTCTGACAGTAAGATTAGGCAGAGGGCCAGTCATCTTGAGCTCAGATCAAGGCCCACTCACACACACACGCACTCACGCACTCACACACACACACACAAACACAAATACAAATCACGTTCTTCAGCAGACCTGATGCTGATATATGACCTCCTGAAGAGATTATGAGATTATGCATGTAAATATGTGCACTGGATTACACTCATCTGATATGCTTTATTGATCCTAAAGGGGAGATTTTAGTTCAACATTCAGTGGCATGTACAGTAAAATCATTGATAATATGAACTAATAATAGGTAAACTCTTCTGGGCAACTAACACAATGTTCTAACCAGATACGACAAGAATGGTAAAGAGCATGTCCTGTTCTAGATACAACAAAATCAATAGAAATGAAGCCTATTTTTAGGCCCACAAAATCAGTTTTTTAAGACAATTCAGCAATGCATTCAAATTTAGTTTTGATCTTTTTTTTTAATATATATAATATCTAATTTCTTTCTGTGATTACATTAGATTCTTACTATTTGTGCAGTATTTTTAACTGCTTTTTTATTAATCTAATGGGAATTATTATTATATAACATTCATTATCTTTATCAAATGACTATAATACCATGATTTAGAAAAAAAACTATAATCAGCATAAAGGCATTACAACAGATACTACCATATATATAATTATTTTGCATTAATGTAATGTGTGGGGTTTTGTTTACATTACAGTAATAAGAATTTTTTTTAAAAAGTGCTTATTTAATAATAAAATGTGATTAATTGTCATAAGAAGTCACAGATGCCTAGATGCATACAGTATATACAGCACTTTAATGTGTCTTTTTTTGTGTTCGTCTCTCAGAAAGGAGTTTGTTCAGGCATATTTACAGTATGTGTTCAGTGATGCCGTACAGGAGCAGTATTCGGCCTTCTCCAGCGGTTTCCTGAAGGTCTGTGGCGGGGAGATTCTCTCTCTCTTCCAGCCCTCTGAGCTCATGGCCATGGTGGTGGGCAACAACAACTACAACTGGGAGGAGATGGAGAAGGTGGGACACGTTTCATACAGCTGTGCTTCACTATCTTAACAAGACACAATGTTAATGCCTTGTGTTGCATCTCTTCTTCTTTTTCTCCCAGAATGCCTCCTACAAGGGCGAGTTCTCTGCATCACACCCAACAGTTAAGATGTTTTGGGAGGTGTTTCATGAGTTTCCCTTGGAGAAAAAGAAACAGTTTTTATGTAAGTGAGAGTCAACATTGTAACGGTTGGTACTATTGTATATATTATATAAAACTGTCTGAATATAAAGCTAGTGTAAAGACCTGTTCAAACCAAAAGAGAAATGAAAATGCAAAGCAAAACACAAACCTATTCATTCATTTATTTTGCGGAATGAAAATGAAATGTGCACCAGAACTATATATTGTGCACCTCTGGTCTGCCATCCTCCATATACTGCAGAGGAGAGTATGAAGAAATCCAAACACTGCTTAAAGTTTGCAAACAACCATAAAACAACTTACCTGCAGGTTTGGATGGATCCAATAGTAGCAACTGTGCAGAAGAGTTTGCTATGGCTCTTCTAAAAAATTTTTTTCTAAATTTGGTTTTGGCTGTAAAAATATTTTTTGATGCATTAGCATCAGCTGTTGCTCTTGACTATAAAACAGAGGCTTGGGACATGTGACCCTAGAGCTTAATTTATTGGTCAGTAAAGTTTTGTCCAATGTTGTTTTAATATTATTTATATTCTGTTACAGTTTTATTAATATTTTGAATTTTATCTATGTATTTTCAGTTTTCATTTTAATTCTAGTTACATTTTTAAACATTTTATGTTTGTCATTTGTATTAGTTTTTTTATATAACTATTTAGATTTAATTTTAGTTTTAGTTCAGTTTAGTTTTTATTAATTTCCAGTAATTTTAGTGCTTCAGCTTAAATGTATTTCAGTTCGTTGCCATGGCAGCATTTCTCACTTTTTTATATATTTATATATAAAATATGTATTTAATTTTTTTTTAAATTATTTATCATTTTTGCTTCAGTTAACGATAATAACCTTGGTTTTGTCACCATATGAAGAAAAATAAGTATTTGTATTTGTTGGTCATTTTTTTAGGGCTATCAAAAAATAAAATGGCTATGTTCATGTAAAATGATAAATACATAACTTAATGTGCTGTCACGTTTACCATTGCTCATTGTAAAAATCTAGTCATTTTAATAGGAATTCACACAATCGGGAATTTCACATAAGGGAGAAACATTCCCCCACGCAGATTTTGCACCAACACCAAGTTTTTCACAGAATGCTGCTTGCTTTGATATGCTGCAGGGTTGCCAGGTCTGCAAAACAAAACCAGCCCAACTGTTTAAAACTAGCCCAATCACGTTTTTCCCCGGGGGTCAGTGGTCACCTCAGTCGAAATCGAGTTCTGGAGGGTGGGGATCGCTTTACCCGCAGACTAAAAAATAATCTGGCTACAGTGTCAAAGTAGCCCAGTTCTGATTTGGCAACACTGATATGCTGTGACTTCTGTGTAAGTGGTGCTTTGCGCATAAATACACCATTGGACTATGGACCTTTTTTGTGCTAATGCAACTTTGCCTTTACAACGCAGACCAAATAAGTGCTTTTGCCTTCCCGCAGTGTTTTTGACAGGCAGTGACCGCATCCCCATCCACGGCATGGCCAGTCTACGCATCGTCATCCAATCCACTGCTGCGGAAGAGCACTACCTTCCTGTGGCCCACACCTGCTATAACATGCTGGACATGCCCTGCTACCAGACCAGAGAGACCCTGCGGCACCGGCTCACGCAAGCCGTGGAGCAGTACGAGGGCTTCAGTCTGGTCTGAGCGGGATCTGCAGAGGTTGCTTTCTGTATGCTGACACTGCACTTTAAACCTGTGGAGAACTGGAAATGAACGCTGCTCTCTCATTTATTTTACCACAGACGAGCACATCCTGAGTCTTGTATGAGTAAATCTATTATTTTCTTAATCTTACAGACAGACTCTGACTTGCTTGTTTGGTTGAATCTTGAGATGTGCACCATTTTTTTGTTTGTTTGCTTTTTGGTTATACATTTTTTTATATTTTTTAAATGACACAAATAAATTATAAGATTAGGATTGAGTTGTTGGCAAAATAAATTAATTCGACGTTCTTTATGTATTTTGTAAATTTAATTATTTTTGAATCCGATTTTTAAACCGATAGGTTGTCTAGACCACGTTATTTTGCTAGGGGTATCCAGACCTGTTCCTGAATGGCCACTGTCCTGGAGTGTTTAGCTCCAACCCTAATTTAACACACCTGAACCAGCTAATCAAGATCTTTGGATCGACTAGAAGCTTCCAGGCAAGTGTGTTGGAACTGGTTGGAATGAAACTCAACTCTTCTCCAAGAGCAAGCGTGTACACCGCAGTTATTTTGCCAATTTGAATTTCTGGAAGGAAGTAAACAAATTTTAAACAAATTTACTCATTAAAGCATATGAAATGCCCACTAAATGCTCATTATTGACCATAGATGAGTGGTTAATCCCATTCAGAAAGAGCCATCGCAACCCTACAAATTGGGGGCTCGTCCGGGATAAAGAGGTAACAGCCCAATCAGCACAGTACACCGAACAGACCGTTTCAGGCCCAATACATTTGGGATGTCTAATCCTGATCCTGGAGGGCCAATGTCCTGCAAAGTTTAGCTCCAACTTATCCCAACACACCTTCCTGGAAGATTTATGTAATCCTGAATACCTTGATTACATTTGGTTCAGGTGTGTTTAATTAGTGTTGGTGCTAAACTCTGCAGGACAGTGGCCCTCCAGGAATAGGATTGGACACTCCTGCAACACATTAAAGGGTTTAACTCGACAAATAATCTCTTTGTTTCCAAGCTTCACCAGTTCAGTCCATGCTCATATAGGACATTATGCATTTTCGCACCTCCTGAATCCATTCCACTGGTTTTCCTTTTGTGTACAGTAGCAAGCCATTAGCATAAAAATGTCTCTTATTAATGATTGGCATGCATGAGCATGCCATGTCCAGGGTGAGCGCCGAAGCTGCTTTTTAAAAAATATTTTAATTAACTATGTGGTAAAAGATCTGATATTTCTCTTAAAGTGACATTGGTTGAGATTTCATTGAGGAACAAATCCAGCAATAACTACTGGTTGATGTATGTGTACTAGTTACGGGATTTTAATTATGTTTTAATCCAACAAATGTGAATATTCTAACAGCTGTGTTCTTCTTCCGGTCAATCCATTGCCGCTTTCAATTTAATCCCTCGTTGTTTCACAGGAAGGTCATATGCTGTAAAGGGGATTTGCTGTCTACTCGCATTTTCTTTCTGAGTGGAGCATTAATGTTGAGTTGTTATTGAAAATGGATCAGAGTGACTTACCTTTGTGGTTTTCAGATATGGTGGACGATAGAGGACTGTTAGGACCACGGTGAGGTGTTTGCTGTGGCCTGTGGTGTTTTGCATCTAGCTGCATGAGATGTATTTGTTTGTACTTGATGGAAGGTCATATAAAGAAGTGTTTCTATCCAACTTATTCCTTTCTGTCAATGTATAAAACAAGGGCTTCTTAGTGGCTACTGATGCATTGTTATTTTAGTAAAGTATATTTACTTTTATAGCTTTCAAATGGAATATATTGTTTTATCTATTTTTTTCCAGAACAATAAAATTATTTCACCTCAGAGTATTATCAAACGTCATGGCATTTTCTTGCACTAAATGACATCGAAATGAATACCCAACACCAGTATATTCAGAAAAAAATAGTTTTTTTTTTTAATATCATATATACAAAATACAAATACAATCATGTACTAAAATGTACACACAGTATTCATCTTTATCCATCAGCCTTGTCACGTTCTGTAAAAACAAAGGTCACACTACAATTTTCCAATCTGGAGAATAAGAGAAGGTGGTGATGTGCTCACTCTGTTTGTATCTGCATTTACGAGGCGCAAACGCTCAGTGAGGCCCCACAGTTTTGTTTTCTATTGCTCGCTAACAATAGAGACGGTTTTAAAGGGGATTCAATCCACCCACATCACTGTTAAACAGTGAGCTTCATTTGATGACCAGTTAAGACACTGGAGCACAAAAAACACTACAAAAATAACAATGAAAGCTGAATTATAGTACCACTGTTTGTGCATTTCTACAGCATTAGAAAATGGCAACAGATTTCGTTTTTCTTACGGTTGTTCATTTGCACTTTTTTTTTTTCTTTTGTAAAGTAAACTCTAGCTTAGTCACTGGTCTTAGTGGAGGGAGAAAGAGATTTGATTAACGATGAACATGTTCAAATAATACATTTTCTCAGAAGCATTAATGTTCAAAATAAAGAATTATGGCACTAGTAAATAATTAAAAAATAATATACAGAGAGCCTTCCTTCCACAAATCGGTTACCTTCTTCAAATCATCAAATACGAAAAGTTCCTATAATGATAAACTCTCCTCATCTCTAAGTATATACACCGATGATTTAAGACGCATTATCTCAATGTTCTTCAAAGCTTATGTCTGATTGGGAAAACACAGTTGTTTCTATATTACAGCAATATTAATATAGAAAAAAGCTAAAAATCTGTATAATACAACACAAAATATAACAAACATTCTTCTGGGCTTCAAAGGGAATTAAGATCAGAGATTCACAAGTAATCTGATTGTATTCTGAAATCCACGGTCTCATAGCGGACAAAAAAAAAATACTTAAGTCCAAAGCAGAACACAAGTCCTTTTTGCTGTACAGTGGAACAAACAGCACTGTACATCTGGTGAACCAGGTAAGTCTTGGCGTCCTTCAAAGCCAAATGTGCCTGTAATGAGTCAATAACAAAGAGGAACATGTCTTTGTACACACTATATTGCTTTGAAAAGCAGTGGCTGGTCCTTGTTTGGCTAGTAGAGTAAATCCCAGCTGAGCACTAGATGAACTTAGAGGAGTCTCTTTTACTGATGAGCACTTCCAACAGCCGTAGCTTGGCTTTAATGTGCTTGTATTCATTGTATTCTCCAGCCAAGGGTGAGCGATCTTCCTTTTGCACGTTTCTATGGGAATAGCAAAAGTAGAGCATTCAGTTATAAGATGTTGTTTCTCTCTGTTTAGACCGATTCAAGCTTAAGAAAATTTACAATTCTAAGAACAAACGTGCACATGAAAATTCGTATTGAGGAAGTTTCCGTTACCTGCCGTTCTGTTTGAAGAACTGATCCTCAAAATCACGGAGGTTTTTGCGGATTCTTTTCTTTTCTTCACGGGCTTCCTGGAGTTGCTCCACAAGTTCCTGCCTGTGTGTTTGGTTAGGAAGGAGTGGAAAGTTTTAGGATTCTATCAAACCACCGCAGCAACAATGCAATCATTTGAGGTTTCAATGGTTTGTACATAATACTGAATATTTCGCTTTTTTAAACTTACAAATTACTTTTAGCCTATTGTATATTCGGCTTTGTAGCTCCACAAAAGATGGATTGTGAACATGAAAAGAGAAAGGTCTGTAGGGCTGCTTACACACTAGAATTGTATGTCAGAGAACATCGCAAATTCTTTGATTTCAAAGGGTTAGGAAAAGTTATGCTACATCGCACATCCAAAGGTTGAGAACAATTTACACCTTTATTTTACCAGGGCTGCGTTTCCAAAAAAGTCATCTTAAGCATTAATGGATTGTAGAATCCATTGGCACCAATGGTCTCTACAATCTACTTGGGTTTACAATGCTTTTGGGGAACAGCCCAGGTTAGTCCCTTTTTTGAAAGAGACCTGGTCATTATGGTGTGTGTACACTAAAAGCAAATTTAATTATTTGCACGAGTAGATTACATACAAAGTCAATGCAAAGACGCGAATTGGGCAACACAATTGCCGCGAACATGTGATATTCGCCTCAATTGTGTCTTCCGCGCAAGTTGAAAAATTTCCACTCAAGCGGGAAATTTGCACGATGTGTTGTCGCGCAAGCCAATCAGCAAAGAGCTTATTGACACGTCCGGTTGTATCAGGAAAAACAATGCTTTTATTCATGCGAGTGTTGCGAAAAACATCCCGCAAGTAACGTAGAGCGATAATGCAATGCGAATATTTGCTTCACTCTTGGTGTTTTTCAAAAATCTGGCATATTCCTACTTGATTTAGACTTTTTCCACATCCTCAAAACACTTCGTTTTAGCATTATCTTGTGTGTCAGTGCCCTAAGACATGGGTTTTCGTCTCTAAACCTTATACTTACATGGTTGCAGCATGCAAATTGGACAATCTCATGTCAGTGGTGTTCTTGGAGGGTGAGAGTTCATCAACAGGCGAGATGAAACCATCTGTGTCCTCATCCAGCTGGTCGAGAAGTCCCAGCATGCTCAGTTCCGGCTTAACCGTGACCGTGAACTGTGTCCTGGTGTCGTTGTCATCGTCCGAGCCGTCCTCCTCCTCCTGGAAAAGAGCAGATGGTGCTGGTTAGCTCAACTGCAGCTTAACTTCGAGAGTTTGCACTAGCATGACTGAGCAGTATCAAGCGTAACATTCATTTAGAAGGCAAGTCTCATTGGCATCAAGCTTCTGTCGTGATAAGCGTTAGTACAAATGAAAAGCATCAGTGCTCCAGCAGTGCAGTAAATTATATTCATTCCAACTGGAGCATTTAGTGCACTGCCGAGTTACCGATTCGAGTTTTTCTTTAATATAAAACCCAATAGGGGTGTGATCAAAAGGCAATGGAATCAGCAGGAGTCGAATCTCACAGCACTCCCATGCAGTTACTGATTCATGATTAGGTTAATGAGGAAACTAGTGGGGGGAAGGAGGTGGGTCAGCCGAATCACTGGTTGGTTGAGCAGTAGCAGCTCTTCACCTTGGTGTCGCTGAAGAATAGGGCTGGTACACCCTCGATAATGGGCTGCAGCAGGGGGCCTCTGCGCTTGCTGGAAGGCGAGCCCTGTGGTGGTGTTAATAGTGACATTACAACCCGGTAAACTACACATCAGCCCACTCAGGGCAGGACTCACTACTGGACTATAAGGTTTATGTTACATAAACCTTGAAATCTAAAGAAATAGTTTTAGGGCAGAGGTCTTCAACCCATCTCCTGGAGACCCTGTTCTACAAGGTTTAGCTTCAGCCCTAATCAAACACACCAGAACAAGTTAATCGAGGTTTTCAGGATGACTTGATGACCAGGCGGGTGTGTTGGAGCAGGTTGGAACTACACTTAGCAGGATAGTGGATCTCCAGGACTATTGAAGACTTATGTTTTAGGGCAGTGTTTCCCAGCCCTGGTCCTGGAGACCCTCCAACATTGCAAGTTCTCTTTTATCTGAAACACACATTTGAGGTCTTGGAGTCTTTACTAATGAGCTGATGGGTTGAATCAGGTGTGCTTGATTAGAAAACATCTGAAATGGGCAGTGTTGGGGGTTCTCCAGGACCAGGATTGAGAACGACTGTTTTAGGGCATATGGTTCTGCTAAATTGAGAACCCAAACTGATGCTAATCAAAAATTTACCTGGAGCAGCATATTATTAACTAAACAATGGAGAAGCTACAGCTAAAATACAATTTATGAGTGCGCACAAAAGTTCAACCAAATATAATCAGACTTTCAAGTATTATATAATGGTGATATCCATTTTGCGTTACATAATCCGGAACATACCAGTATAATATTTGCATGCACTTGGGATGTTTTTTGTTGTTGTATTTCACATACCTATCATACTATATTAAGCAGAGGGAAACACTGTATCAGCGGTATGGGAATATGACCAGGGTGGCTGTTTAATGCTAAGTGTAAGAGACTTAAGAATTATAAGGAATACTGTTGCAAATATCCAGCTACAGGATATGACCTCAGCGAGCTACTCTTGAGCTCTTGCTAAAGACAGACTTATCGACGCTAACAAGCCCCAGCACTGCCACCGCATCAATACTGCCTCTAAATGCTTATATTGTGCTACTGCTAATGCTATTTCCTCTACTAATACTGTGGAGATTTATCCATACGGTTTAGTTCAAGAATGAAGTAGAAATGGCAGCTAGCTAGCTTTTAATACTATAACACTAGCTTTTGCATGTCTGCTAACGTGGCTCGGATAAGTATTAGCTTTTTCCCAAAACTTAGTGAGCTGCCTCGCTGCCAACATGGGCAGCAACTCTGTCATGGAAGTGACCGATTTGGAACGCTCTACATAGGCAGCAAACTCAACAGGCTTCAATAGGCTATGTTAGCATGTTGCTAAGCTGACCACACTCAAATATGAATATACATCGTACGCACAAGTATTAGGTAAAAGAACCAATTTATTTTTTATTAATACTTTATAATACTGAATGAAATTTATCTCGCTTAGTCAGCCATCTTGCCCCTTCTAAAACTAACCATGGTTTTACAAGAGTACAAGTGCAGTAACCATGTTTTTTTTGGAGGGAGTATAGATCACTATTTGTATAACAACAGTTCTACTACAAATACCATGGTTAAGCTATGATTAGTGTAGCAAAACTATGGATAATTTGTGGTTACCATGGTTTAACTGTAGTAACCATTGTTTTGTTGTTTTTTTTGTAGTAAAACCATGGTTAACTTTCTTAAGGGTGCTGCATTGCATTCTGGAATTACCTTATTCTGTGAAGGAATTATGCTGGCTTAAATATGGCCAAAGAGACGTATCTTAGAAGGCAGAATAATAAAGTTGCCTATCTTTTGCAATAGCCTTCAACATTGGGAGTGCATGTATCTCACTAGGTTTTGAAACACAGGAATTGGAACTGTAAACCAGGGGTGTTCAATTCCGCTCCTTGAGGGCCAATGTCCTGCAGAGTTCGGCTCCAAACTATTCCAAAACACCTGCCTGGAAGTTTTCAAGTAATCCCGAAGACCTGGCTAGTTCAGGTGGGTTTGATTAAGACTGGAGCTAAACTCTGAAGTATAGTGGCCCTCCAGAAGCAGGATTGGACACTCCTGCTGTATATGAACTCCTGCTTGAACGATTTCTCCAGGAAATGGGGAAACTGAAATGGGGAAAATAGAAAAATTTTGGAAAAACAGAACTTACAATGACTGGAATGGCAGACGCTCTGCAGAGGATCTGTTTGATGAGTCGGTACCGATCGTATAGAGGCTTCATGACCTGCCTCTCGTTCTTGGTGATCTAGAAAGGATGACAGAAAGAGAGACATTGAAATCAACCTCGACTTAAGTTCTTAACCTTCAGAAGGTGAACTTATTGCACTTTTTTGAAGAATTGCATACTCACTGGTCTCCCGTGGATGCTCTCGTAATATAATAGAGCTTTCTGAAGGGCCACTTTTTCTGCTCCTATCTGCTCACGGGTCATGTCCTAAAGAAGAACAAAGGATGAAATTTTAAAGATTCATGAATTTGTTTATAATAAAAAGGGTCAAATGGAGAACAAAAATCTTTGAAATCGCACCTTAACGTCTTCAGGTCGGCCAGCCTCCTTGCGTTTCTCCTGCAGTTTGTTCATAACTGCCTCTAGCGTGCTCTCCACAGGGGGTTTGGGGGCTTTGGTCTCAGTGGGTTTCTTCTCCAGCTGAGATCCAAAGCTCTTGGGAAGAGTGTTGCTGCGCTGGCGGGGGATGGGCGTCAAATCCTCTTCTGACTTTAGCAACTTGTGATCTGTGAAGCCAGAACATGGAGCCACTTGTTTATAAGAACTTTGCAAGCCATGAGCCGAGTAGATTAGATCAGGGGTTGTTTTCCTGGTAGGCCCAACCCACAAAGGTTAGTGAGAAATAACACCATTTTGTTCGAACAAAATATTATGAAGGTTGGATTAGCATGGCTTATGTGATTCAAATCACTTTCATTATTCATACCTTTTAAATCTTTGCGCATCTTGGCCAGTTCATTCATCCACCGCAGAACCTCTGGATTGGCGGCTTTGTCGCTGTGTGAAGGCTGTAGAGAAAACACTAAACTCAGTATCTGTAGCAAATCCAGCTAAATACATTTTGCATTGATCTTTTGCATTGGTGCATATATAGTATACAGAAAATGTTTTTCAGAGTAGACTGCTTCATTGATTATAATGCGATTGGTTTATCAGTGCAGTCATTGTAGATTGTTTAGTCCTCGCAACAGATTTGAAAGTGGGTCATGCAATCAGATGCATCTCGATTGCTCACCCTGTATTTACGCTCCTCCTCAAACTTCTCCTCAAACCTCCTGATCTTCTTCTTGAGTACGTGGATCCGCTTTGAAAGCTGTGCTGAAGTGAGCTCTTCCCGGTCGTCGTCGCAGGAGCCTAATGATGAACTTCTTCGCCTACTGAATGAAGAACATCATTAATTTCACATACTGTATTTAATCTTCCAGACCACATAAGAGTGTTGTTTTACCTGACAAAGGAGTGGGCATTGGGTGGAGATGGAGGAACCTCAGTGTCATCCAGATACTGTTGGCCATCTCCATAAGCGTAGAACCGCGGCGAGACCATTGGGTTGCTGTCCTCTTCCAGGAGTTGTCGAATCAGCTTGCCACCGGCGTGAGGTGACAGACGAGCTTCTTCGCGGTCCATACTCTCCCTTTGCCACGACGAGTAGGCCGGGACTGGTTCTGTCAACACGCAAACATGCGTGCGTTAATATGGAGGGAAATAACAAAGCAGCGTGTCTGGATTTTAGCAAGTCACCCAGTAAGTAGCAAGCCAAACAGGGAAGAACTGGCAACAAAACATCCAACAAGGTAGATTTAGTCTTTGTTGATATAGCCAAATGTTTCGGTACATATTAAATTTTAACTAGGCTGATACTCTATTAACCTTGATGCTATTTCTGGCATCCTTGAGGTCGGCTGTTATAGCCAAAACCACAAAAAAATTGTGCCATATGCCAAGGCTGATACTCTATTAACCTTGATGCTATTTCTGGCATCCTTGACGTCGGCTGTTATAGCCAAAACCACAAAAAAATTGTGCCATATGCCATGGCCAGGTTATTACTCAAACATAGCGAGCACATGCTGTAATATGCTGAACGTTTTGTTTATTTATTATGCAGATGCCGTGACTGTAAAGAAAGGTCAGGACAATTTAATGATGCATCCAGAAGAATGTCGCGATAAACGCCGACTGCAAAGTGACCTGCGGAACTGGCATGCATGAAGGATCAAACTCGATCTTATCTGTTGTTATAAAGTTGATATTGGTGTATTTACAGCGCTGAAGTGCAAGTAAAACCGTGCACAAGGCAACGTTCATTAGGACAAACAATAAAACAATGTGTCTACTATAACAACTTTTTTATTGATGTACCAACTGAGCTCTAAAAGAACATTACATTACGCGGCAATAGTTTATGGGACTTGATGAGAAAATACACTAGATTTGTAATTTTTTTTGAAGAGAAGAATAGAGTCCTTCTCTCATCATTTCAGTCCATGCACACTCACTCAAACACAACATGCTTTCCAAAAAGCTGTGCAACAATCTGGTAGAGCCTGAATTCCCACAGCTTCTTTGCACTTTTTGTACCATGTCATGTGCTTGTTACAGTCATGCTCGAGAAGCTAATGGGTCAGGTGGACCTCTCCCTAATGGCGCATTTGGAGCCATTTTGTTGAGCCGGCACAATACATCCAAGCATGTGGTACAAGATGGCCTTTCACTAAAAGACTCACAAAAAGTCTCAGTAGGCCGTTGCGGACATAAATAAAGGCACATATTACTGTGCCTGTCCTCAGGTTGTTAGATGCTAGGTGAGTACATGCCAGTTTGGGGTGTTTTATGGGATTTCCATGCAGCGTTTAAAGGTCACTGGTGAGAGATGGGGATCAGGGATATCAAGTTGTTAACAAAAGCAGATCTCAGCCCTTACCCTCATTGTGACTTGATTTTAAAAGGCTTTTAAAGTCAAGGAAAGGGGCGCTAAAGAAGTGAGAATCTGAAAGACAAAAGGAAAGAGAGGCAAGTGAGATAACAGCCCAAGGAAAAGGTTTTACTCAAGAGAACGAGACAGGCAGAGTGATATATAAGATTGTGGAAATCACAGCTGACAAACAGATGGGCAAACCACTGCCTCTTGGCACCGCAGTGGGTCACCACAATGTGCTTTGGCACCGGCCGCAGTGGGACAAAGGTCTGGCAGCTCAACATTACATACCATTTGACCACTCCCATGAGCTGGAGCAACTGTTTGCTTTTAGTGCAACTGTATTTTACAGTCGCGTGAGCTCCTTTAAAGCAACCATATGCTTCCAAAAACATTTTAGCTTGTATAATCATTTATACTTTTCACCTGTGATTTTGTTCCGCTTAGCATAATAAACTTAACTGCTACAATTTGTAGAATGTAACATGCACACAGCCTTTGCTTTAAAGCTTTTATTTGTATAAAGCTTTCTACCACACATAAAGCTGATATATTTCATCATGATATCTGTGATTAAGCAGCATAACAAACATAATTGCTAGGATTTGTTGAATATAACTAGGTTAAGTGCAGACAACTATTCAAATTACTGATTTGTGTAGCTCTCCTCAAAATGCTGTTCTAAAATTATCTTTTGTTTTTCTAAGCTTAACGAACTAAATTTCTGTGATTTGTGGCATATAACTAGGCAAACATGCACTACGGCACTTTGACTACCCCCAAAATAAGTCAATTTTTTATTTATTCGAAGGCGCTTTTCACAATAAATATTGTCCCAAAGCTATCTTTTTCTTCATGTTATCTGTAATTAAGTTGCTCCACTAAGCACAACAAACATAATTGCTAGGATTTGCGCAAAACTATTCAAATTACCGATTTGTGTAGCACTTTTCAAAATAAATATTGTTCCTTTAAGTCATTTTAAGTAATTCTATTTAGCATAACAAACTAAATCGCCAAAATGAAGCAGTTTATTTCTTTGTAAAGCACACCAAAACTCATAGCATATATATATATATATATATATATATATATATATATATATCATTTTATCTCATAATAATGTGCTATAATCTATATTTATACATTAAGTTATGCATTAAAATCAAATAACTCTTTTATCTTAAAGAATATGATGAATAAACAAAAAAGCACAAATATGCAATCAATAGCCTCTCTAGTGTTTACAAACACAAGATTATGGCTAAAGGGGAAGTGTGGGGAGGGGAAAAAAACAAGCAACTGCAAGAACCGCAGATGAATTCAGTGCAAACTCAATAAATCCCGGAGGCATCCGAATCAAAATTCTCAAGGGACATCGCAGGGCTTTGAAGAAGCACCAAGCTGTGGCTCCAACCTCAATAAAAACATTTTAGCTTGTATAATCATTTATACTTTTCACCTGTGATTTTGTTCCGCTTAGCATAATAAACTTAACTGCTACAATTTGTAGAATGTAACATGCACACAGCCTTTGCTTTAAAGCTTTTATTTGTATAAAGCTTTCTACCACACATAAAGCTGATATATTTCATCATGATATCTGTGATTAAGCAGCATAACAAACATAATTGCTAGGATTTGTTGAATATAACTAGGTTAAGTGCAGACAACTATTCAAATTACTGATTTGTGTAGCTCTCCTCAAAATGCTGTTCTAAAATTATCTTTTGTTTTTCTAAGCTTAACGAACTAAATTTCTGTGATTTGTGGCATATAACTAGGCAAACATGCACTACGGCACTTTGACTACCCCCAAAATAAGTCAATTTTTTATTTATTCGAAGGCGCTTTTCACAATAAATATTGTCCCAAAGCTATCTTTTTCTTCATGTTATCTGTAATTAAGTTGCTCCACTAAGCACAACAAACATAATTGCTAGGATTTGCGAAAAACTATTCAAATTACCGATTTGTGTAGCACTTTTCAAAATAAATATTGTTCCTTTAAGTCATTTTAAGTAATTCTATTTAGCATAACAAACTAAATCGCCAAAATGAAGCAGTTTATTTCTTTGTAAAGCACACCAAAACTCATAGCATACCAAACTTTATTGCAAAGATCTGTGTATAACTACGCAAAAAGCACACTGAACGGCCTTAAAATGATTAAAAATTCAGAATTCAATTTTATAGCACTTTACACAATACATATTCCAAACTAAAATGCAATGGGGGAAAAACCCCTTAGAAACTCTTCAAAACCATTTCTAAACACAAGGCAACAGAACAGCGCCTAGAGGAAATATCTTACGTCGCACTCCCAGGAATGTCTCTGTGAAGACCTTGCAAAGCCACAGGGCGACGTTTTGACCATCGTAGTCTAAGTGTCAAGCGAGATATGTCATTGTGTACGCAGCTGTGTGAAGCTCTCAGTAGAGGGTGCCATAGAGCAAGTCCATGCTACAGTATAGCGACTCTGCCAAGGCTGTGACCACAATATTAAGCACTACATTAAAGTAAAGGGTAACTGTGAATCAACATGGCAACCCTCTCAGCACAGCAGGGCTGCTCCACATGCTATGTGCCATTCACGGTCTTGGGTGTATCCGTGCCAGACCTCCTTAAACACTGAGACCGTACACTACAAATATTCCAAGGTCATGGTGAAAAGGGGTGTGTTTGCGCATGTTTGTGCAAGTCTACAACTGGCACATGCTGCACGAACTGAAGAGGAAACAGGAAGGGAGACTATTGTACATAGCCATGACAAGTTTTAAAGGCTGAGACGTGACGTGCACATAGCAACAGCTCCCAGATGCCTGGATTTAAACCTCCTCCTGTTTCACTTCTCATTATAAGGCCCTCCACTTGTAAAGCTACATGTCTGCTTGTTTCTAGTCCCAACACTGAAGATGACAAATGCTGTGAATCCTAAACTTGACTGAAATGCAACAGCTGTGAAAATGCATCAAATCAATGATAAAATCCATTTTATTCAGATGCATCTGCTCAGTGAAGTTCTGTGTGCTGCTTGCATAAAACATGGTGTTATACACCGATATTAATATTAATGATATTAATGTTAAAAAAAGATAAGCAAAATGAGTAAAAAAAAGTGCTGTAATCTATATGTATTAATCTATACACAAATTAATTTAAATTTTATATATAAATTAATGTTTAAAAAAAGACAAGCAAAACGAAAACAAAAAGTGCTGTAATCTATATTTAGTAATCTATACACTGAAATTAAATTAAATCTCAGATGACATGAACAATAAATAAACAATATGCTAGAATCTACATAAAAATATTTTATATATTAAAATTAAATAACTTTTATTTTATCTTAAAGAATATGATGAATAAACAAATAAGTGCCACAATCTATATTAATTTATCTATACAGTAAAATTTTAAATTAAAATGTACAATTAAAAAACCTATACACATACATATATATTTTAGCAATCTATACATTAAATCATTATTAAAAACTTTTATGTCTCTCTCTCTCTCTATATATAAATATATATATATACACACACACAAACACACTCAGGCATTTAAATTAAAATGAATATTCTAAACAAAAAACGTATTCATTATTATTATAATATTATATATTTATTCCTTTGAAGAAGCACCAAGCTGTGGCTCCAACCTCAATATTTACAACAAACATGCAGAGAAAAATGCATCGATAGCATTGCAAAATAAGCCTCTCCAGACAAAACATAACACCGTATGCAGAACATGAGGAGGAAAACAGCTTGCAGACTGCTTCTAATCTTCTTTCCTCTGGTTAAATGACTTAATAAGATCCACTGCATGAGGACACAATGTGGGCAAGGCAGACTTGCAGCTGCCGCCCATGTGCAGAGAGAGAGACAGCAACAAATTGAGCGAGAGAGAGAGAGAGAGACAAATAAAAAATATATTAAAAACCACTGACCTGCCCAGTTATTGTCGTCCGTCAGAGTAGACAGGTCCAGTCGAGGGACATCGTCACATGGCTCTGCGGCACTAAGAGCCTCCTGGATCTTCATGGCAGGCGTCTAGCAGTGAAAAGAGCAAAGCATAAACACTAACTACACTAGAGTGGTGGCAGTGCGCTTCTTAAGCCGAGCAATACCCTTGCCTGCGCCTGCTCCCGTCTTCTTACAGGCTGGGAGGAGGCAGGGGGGCGGCGCTGCGGGACAAACCCCTGCCTGCTGATTGGCTGCCTGCCCTGCTCAAACCCCGCCCACCTTCCTTTCAGGGTAGGTGTGGCTAATTTTATGTTATTTTCTCTCTCTCCACCCCTCCCTTTCTCTGTGTGTCCCAGAGAGAGAGAGAGGGAGGGAACATGCAGAGCCCGCAAAGTACGCAGGCAGAAATGCCTTCCCGATTTCTCACTTTAGCATTTCCGAAACTCTTCCCTCTCTTTTAATATTGAACAATCACGCAGGAGGGGCCCGTGTGGGTGCAGACAGATGTAATCCAGATAAATGTGCAACTCGGCCACTCGCACAAACACACACTTCCGGCTCTGGGGCGTGGGACGGGGTCTATTTTTGGAGCAGAGGGGGGCCTTTTCCTCACTACATGCCCCGCATTACTGACAGCATGACTGAAAGTCCCGTTTACCAATATATTACGGCAGACGGGGCTTACTCATGCTAATGCAACTGGATTTGAAACGCACTTGTGCCATTGCAGACGTGCTATTTGTGGCATTGTGATTTTCATAACGTGCTCATCATGGTCCATAATTGCAACACTGCTGATATTGTGTCAATCCAAACATGGGAACAGGACTTGTGCATGGCTGTGCAAAATGCCCCTGCCAGCCTGCCAAGAGATGTGATTTTATTACCACTAGAACAGATAAGGAACGGCATGGGAAACATACAAAACTCTTCCCTCTCTTTTAATATTGAACAATCACGCAGGAGGGGCCCGTGTGGGTGCAGACAGATGTAATCCAGATAAATGTGCAACTCGGCCACTCGCACAAACACACACTTCCGGCTCTGGGGCGTGGGACGGGGTCTATTTTTGGAGCAGAGGGGGGCCTTTTCCTCACTACATGCCCCGCATTACTGACAGCATGACTGAAAGTCCCGTTTACCAATATATTACGGCAGACGGGGCTTACTCATGCTAATGCAACTGGATTTGAAACGCACTTGTGCCATTGCAGACGTGCTATTTGTGGCATTGTGATTTTCATAACGTGCTCATCATGGTCCATAATTGCAACACTGCTGATATTGTGTCAATCCAAACATGGGAACAGGACTTGTGCATGGCTGTGCAAAATGCCCCTGCCAGCCTGCCAAGAGATGTCCAGACCTCCTGTATGTCAAGATCTGTGAATATCTGTTTGACTTCACATACAAATGTGACCCTGGACCACAAAACCAGTCATAAGGGTCAATTTTTTTAGATCATCTGAAAGCCGAATAAATAAGATTTCATTGATGTATTATTTATTAGGATAGTACAATATTTGATCGAGATACAACTATTTGAAAATCTGGAATCTGAAGGCGCAAAAAAAAAATAAATCTAAATATTGAGAAAATCACCTTTAAAGTTGTCCAAATTAAGTTCTTAGCAATGCATATTACTAATCAAAAATGAAGTTTTGATATATTTAAGGTAGGGAATTTATTAAATATCTTCAACATGATCTTTACTTAATATCCCAATGATTTTTGGCATAAAATAAATATCTATAATTTTGACCCATACACTGTATTGTTGGCTATTGCTACAAAATATACCATGTGCAACTTAAGACTGGTTTTGTGGTCCAGGGTCACAAATGTGCCTCACTGCACAAATACACACTTCAATACACAGTTCACACGCAGTCCAACTGCTCTCTTAAAACAAGGGCGTGTTTACAACAGGAACGTAAACTTAATGTATATACAACGTCTGCATGCTTTCGCTGAAACTATGACGTAAACGACTTTAAATGGTGGAAGTCAGTTGATTTAGATCAACAGGCTTTCAGTAGATTTACAGCTTTCACATGATGTTTGGCCCAGAAAAACATCGCCTAAAATCTCTCCAATCAAGGGCAATCAACAGTAAACAATTCATCAGATAATCTTCTTGTCATCACCTGTTCATGACGCGATTAAAGAGGTGACCACTAATGAGATTATTTTGCTGATTACTGATGAGATTTGAGTTATTATGGACATAAATATTTCAATCTAGGAATCTCATCATATCCAGAGATGCCAAAACAGCAGTAATCTGGTCTAGAAACTCAAACTGAGGGCTATGAAAAGCCGAGAAGCAACGCTTTTGTTGAAAGAAAGTCGGGAGGGGAAATAATACGTTTAAAAGTTGTGCATGAAAAAATCTAATCAAATCGCATCCTTAAAGGACACTACAATTAAATAAAAGGTACTAAAAAAAAATCTTAACATTGTGGTTAACTGATAAAGCTCTGCATATTAGTAAAGGATTGTGCTTTTCAACACGTTCACAGAAAAGAAGACTCTAATCAGCTGCCACTATCAAATACGTGAGGAGCTCTTATACCTCAATGCACTGCATACGTGTCACAGCTGGGTACAACATGTTCTGACTGTTAGAGCGCATGAAGGAGTGAGATCTGAGATGACACACCGATTCAACATGTATTTGACATCACAATGAGCGCGGATCAAGCTGGGCTTAACAAAACCAATATTCCGAAGTCTGTATGTTTTTAGGAGAACATTGCAAACGTCTTTGGAAGATGAAGAGAAAGGAAACTGAATTGTTTGATCTCTAGATTATTTAGACTGTATCATTTTACAGACTAAACCACTGATGCAGAAACATTTTGGACGTTCACGACTATATCAACTCTATCAATGACCCTCAAACTATTTGTAAAAATGTATGAATGTCATTGCATCAGTTTAACAAACCGAGTGACATTCATGTTAAAGAACAATATCACAAGCACACGTTAAGCCAAACATTACATTTCAAGATGTTAGTTTTAAAATCACACTGCAGGTTCAGCAATGCCATAGAGACATTTTTGGTTCCCCAAAGAACCTTTCACTGATCAATTCTTATAAGAACCATTTTTTTCTTAGTGTTAAGAACATTTTAAGAATCTGAAGAACCTTTTTCCACTATATGAAGAACATTTTGTGGAATATGGAAAGATTCCATGGATGTCACAGGTTCTTCGTGGAACCATCAATGCCAATAAAGAACCTTTATTTTTAAGAGTGTGTTATTACATTGATATTACATATAATGCAATAAAATTATAATTTAAGTGTCCAAATATTTTTTGGGCCACTGTATATCAGTTTTTTGGAGGACAACCAATGATGTGCAACATAAGTGCCACAGCTCTTGGTCTGAACATGCAGGTAGACGACTAAAGCAGAAGGTCCATTGGCACGCTGACATTAAACGGTACCAGAGCCCAGATGGCCTGACAGCAGGGGTAAGAGTATAGGTGGTGGTCCAACAAATCCAGGATGTTCTCACAGTAACACCAACAAGACTATTTGGATACATTTCAGATGCTCTTCTAATCCCTTTATCCAGAGATCTGTTAATGTATATCAATGTTGACATGTATCAACCATAACAGATGATCAAATGACACAAGCCGAAAGATTTAGTACAGCTGTCTATTTGGTGTCCTTCCTGCAGGTGTCCTCTCATCTGAAATAAGTCACTCCAGACTCAACTATGTTGTTCATCTACATTTTTTACATTTTAAAAAAACAAGGCTTTGATTACAAGAACTTGTCACAGTAAATCTGTCACTGTGAACAGTGCACAAATGTAAGAACAGAACACAAGCAGGAAAGAAAATAAGATGAGGGCAGGAAATGTGATACAGGAAAAAGAAATTGAACTAAACTTACCTGAATAGAATGCAGGCCGTTGTCCTTTTGATGGTTCCTCCTGAAAACAAGAGAATTCATTAGTGATATTATAAAAGAATCACAAAACTATTCATGCTAAAAATGCACAGCTCAAACTGTAAAGATGTTGTTGTTTTTTAAACTTTTTTTCAAATTCTGATAGCCTTCAGAATACAATGCGCAGAGCTGTAGGTGCTACACACAACCAGAAACAGCACAAGAGTTGGCCCTCACAGATCTACTCTTACATTCATTCTTCTGGTCTTTAGGAATAACAGTATCTGTTCTACTTCCTCCATCATTTATGACAACTAAATAAGCGTCGTTGCACAGTAAATGTGGGCAATTATATTGTAATGTTTTCAGATTTCTGATGTCAGGGCTCTGTTTTACAAGCATAGTTTGAACAGGTGGTCTTTTTGAACCAGGGAGAAAGTTTTGAGGGCAAGTTAATTCTACTTCCCAACATACACAGAACTGGAGATAATGAATTTAGAGGGTCTAAATACCTGTAATCAGCTGACGCCATATCAGGTCCTTGGCATTCCATTGGCTAGATTTCAAAGAAAAACAACACATGTATCTTCTTAATATGTTAATAGGAGGATAAAGAAATAAAAGTTTTTCAGAACAGCAAGGTGAAAAAAAGTGTGTGAATTAGGGCTGTGCAATTAATCGAAAAACAATTTCGATTTCGGCCTCCAACGATTATGAAAATACGATAATCGGGATAAAACGATTATCCCGATTATCATTCCCCCATTCCCCCCTTTTCGTTCCTCCATAAAAGCCCAATTTCACGTGCAAATCAGTCAAATCATGTAAGGTGACTTTTGCAAAATGGGACGTGCTTGATTTATATAAGTATTTTTATTATTCACGTTTTTAAAAGCGTGAAAGAGAACTTGCGCTGCACCTCAGGATATGCGCTCAGAGACGGAACAGAACACGGACATGTAAAGTCATCTTTTAGCTCAAGGTGCGTGCCTAAACGGTCAAATACACGCAAAAATGTGTCAAAATGCGGCGCTTAGTGATTATTCATGTACACCTTCGTCGGTCATGTAATAAATGAACGTAAAGAGTTGAGAATGAAAATACGCGTGTAACGGTAAATTGGATCCGTGCGGCTCTTAAAGTGACAGCGGTCTATTTTCCTGCTGTGACTGTGTGCTTAATACTAATCAAACAACAAAACACAAATTCAAAATCACACACTGCTCTTGAGTGAAGGACTTCTGTAGCTTTAATAAGAAACAAAAAAGTTTAATTCTTATTGTGAAGAATATGCCGTTTTATTTTACATTTGATTATTAATTTCTGTAGTAGGCTGTAGACTGCTTGAGACTTGCATAAAAAAAACATTAAAGCACAGTTTGTTTCATTTGTATCTTTTTATTCTATTGTATTTGTCCTTTGCTTTTTCATTAATGACAGTTCAATTATTTTCAATAATTTTTAGGACTTTTTGTTTGTTTGTTTGTTTGAAATTCCGCTGGTCTCTACAATGTAGATGTCATAGTAACCTTATTTACAGGAAATATATATTTGATATGTATCACTATCTTTAAATAAATCACTCCAAAATAATGGAGTGGCCAAAATAATCGTGATTATGATTTTTGCCATAATCGAGCAGCCCTAGTGTGAATGTCCTATACTATTACCTAGTTGCAAGTTTACAGCAATCAAAGTGATAAACAATGTTTGCTTTAATTTTAAGTTTACTCTAAGTTACATTAAAAAAAAAAGTGGTGTCAGATTTTTGTCTACATTACAAACTATATATCTAATTATATTGGTCATCTGCCATTAAAAAACCCATATTGGTCGACCACAAGTTGACCAAGAGATGTTTTAGTAAAACCGAGACATTACCAAAACATCTGTAATGGTGTCTAATGCACGTCACTGTGGTGTACCAATAAATAAATGCTTTGAACACTGTGGTCTGGTCTGTGGTCTGAGGTGAATCCAGAATCCAAACACACACCTAACAGCATAAACATGAGTCAGCGAGAGATCCTCGTCAAAACACTGTTCCGATAAAAGCAAGCCCTGCAATTTACCTCTGATTTTCCACAGAGATGCATTATGTGCTGTCTCCCATGAACAAGGACAAGAAGGATTTGAAGATAATTAGCTGTTCCTGTCACTGTTTACTACCATGCATTAATTCATGGGGTTTTTATTGTTCTTGATGATATTCTGTTGCCATTGACATTGAGAATATAAAAGGAATAGTTCACCCAAAAATGATAATTCAAGAAAAATGAATGTCATTCCAAACCTGTATGACTTATCCTATTTTGTGAGTCACACAAGAAAGTATTTTGAAGAACTGTTTTTGTCCATATAATGAAAGTCAGTGGGGGCCAAAACAACACTGGACCCAATGACTTGCATTGTTCGGTCCCAAAATTAAATAAATAAATAGCATTGTAATAGTAATAACATTGTAAATTAACATGAACATTCACAAATGCTGTAAAAAGTTGATGCTTGTTGCAAATTCATGATACTGTACTGAACACATTGAATAATAATAAAAATGTACCTTGTAAAGTGTTACCCAAGAAAAAAGCATCATAAGTCAATACATTTCTAAAACGTTTTATCATTAGTTAATGCATTGTGAACTAGACTTCTTTAATATTGGTTAATTCCATAAACAAATACATTTTTATAAATGATGTATATTTAATGGAACATTAACAAACATGATAATATGGTAAATTAACGTGAACCTACATTAACAAATGCTACATTAACAAATGAAAAGTTCACGATACTGTACTGAATGCATTGACTAATGATAACAATTTACCTTATTATACACAGTGTTACCCAATGAATATATTTATTTTTAGGGTCAGAAGTTAATAAATGTATGTGTTTTAACATTAGTTCATGTATTAGGTACCGTGAACTAGAATTTATCGGTAACACTTTATTTTACGGTGTCCTTGTTACACGTTACATGTGCTTACTATTATAATAACAATAAATTATGCATAATTACATGCAAGTAACCCTAATCCTAACCCTAACCATATAGTAAGTACATGTAGTTAATTAATATTACTCGGTACTTATATGTAGAATTACACTGTAACAAGGACACCTTAAAATAAAGTGTAACCAATTTATCATTATTGGTTAATTACATATACTAATACATTTTTAACATTTCAAGTTGTATAAATGTTATAAAGCATTACCCAGGAAATTGGTATTTAAAACACTATTTGGATACAATCCAAGTGGTTTTTACTATGGCGTTATGTGGTTGTTGGGCTGTTGCTAAGTGGTTGCTTACTGGCCCAAGTCAAAATAACTCATTTTTTGGTCCACCATATAAAAAATGTATGCATATTGCTTCATTTCTGAAGCATAAAAACTGCCGGACGAGTTGAAGCTGGGTTTGTTGAAATCTCTCCCACTTAGTATAAGCACTAGTAATAGTGATGCTTGCAGGAAGAAAAAGAGAAGGCCATGGAGATAAGCCTAAAAAGCAGACTTACGGTGGGGGCGTCCTGGTTGTCTGAGTGCTCGGTCAGTGTGGGACTCTCTTTGGTCTTCCTGTTTCTCTGAGCCTCGTGTGGTGGCAGCAGCAGACGCCCGTCACCCTCTGTGACCCTCACACCCGGAGACGGGACGTTCTCTTTATCACCCTCGACCCTGAGAAAGACACAGATTCGCTTTCAGACACCACAGAATGAACACGTGACGAGGCGAGGACTTTCTGTGCTTGCCCTTTACTCAAGGGATCAACTCTTAAGAGCGGAGCAGAAATGAAGCTGTCCCGGTGATACCTCATCTGACTGTTTATTTACATCTGTCTCTTGAGTTGGATCAGTGTGTGTCACACAGCACAACTGCTGAGCCACTAATCTAATGTTTTCCATGTCTCTGTGGATAGTTTGCTCAGAGTTCCTGTCGACAGGATTAGTTAGATCGCTCGGAGATCCAGCCAGCAAGCAATGACCCAAGCTGGAATGGATCATTACTAATCCACATGTTTTATCAAATCACTGTAATAATATGGGATTAACTAAATACTTTTGCTAGGTTACAATTAGTGATAGGTCAATAATATACAGTAACAGTAGTTTAGCTAGACTGGCTGGTCTGCAGCTATTTGGCCATTTTAAGATTTTCAGCAATTATCTGATATCCATAACCCCCAGTGCCAGCTGTAGAAAGCTGGACATCCTTGTTGGTGGACAACGCACCAAAATTTTCAAAAACATTTTTTTGTATGTTTTAATATTAAAATATTTTAAATAAAATACATGGTAAATGTAACTTATTAATTATATTATCAATGTTTAAAACAGCTGTGCTGTTAAATATTTTTTGTAAAAACTATGATATATTTAAGGATTCTCTGATGAATAGAAAATTAAAAAGAACAGCATTTAGTTTAAATATAAATCTTCCGTAACATTACAGATGTCTTTACTGTAACTTTTGACCAATTTAATTCATCCTTGCTGAATAAAAGCATTAAAAAATCCTAAGTTTTGAATACTAGTATATATAGCTATTCTAGTCAATTCAGTGTGTTCAGGTTTATTCAGATCACACACAATGACATCAAAAGACTTGCTAATTATTGCAGGAGTCACTGTGGAGATCAGCATCACAGATGTCAACTGCAGAGAAACCGCCAACCTAAGTTGATTAAACTGTTTTTGATGATTGGAAAAACATCTTGAGCAACCAAGAAACATGAAACATTGACTAGAAGTTCACTGGACATTCTGTAATGACCTGGTTAACTGGTTGCACAGACAAGCTACCATGCCAATTGGCTGCAGTTGCACCCGAGTAAAGAGAGCCCAAGAATAGCTGTATTTCAGGAGAAACCTGCTCCTTACCTGAAGTTCTCCTCTTGTTCTCGCAGATGTCTCCTCCTCGCTCGGGCTGTCGTCACAGGAGATGAAGAGTGGGCAGTCGGCCCCAAGCCCTCTGAACTCTGACCTGTGTGCATGTGTGAGTTGAAGAGGTGTTGCTCGACCGCTGAGCGAATGGTCTTCTCCAGAAAACTGGACAGAGAGAGAGAGAAAGACATGTCAACGGTCAAACGATGATTGCTTTAACTACATGAACAATGGAACTCTTCTGGCTATTCAGAAGATTGACTAATCATTTATTAAAATAATTTAATTGTCATATCAGGCTCTGTATAATTGCTTACTTTGTTAATTCAGGTCTGCAGTGTCCGGGAGAGATCTGTGAACTAAAGAAAGAGAAAAACATAAAGAAGAGAGATTTATACTGAATTATTAAGTTGAGCATCAATTGCATCCAATTGTATCCAATGAGAAACACATAACCTTTCTTAAGTCGCTGGGGTATATTTGTAGCAATAGCCAAAAATACAGTGTATGGGTCAAAATTATCGATTTTTCTTTTATGCCAAAAATCATTAGGACATTAAGTAAAGATCATGTTCCATGAATATATTTTGTAAATTTCTTACTGTAAATATATCAAAACTTAATTTTTGATTAGTAATATGCATTGCTAAGAACTTCATTTGGACAACTTTAAAGGCGATTTTCTCAGTATTTAGATTTTTTTTTTTGCACTCTCAGATTCCAGATTTTCAAATAGTTGTATCTCGGCTAAATATTGTCCTATCATAACAAACCATACATCAATGGAAAGCTTATTTATTTCGCTTTCAGATAATGTAAAAAAATTGACCCTTATGACTGGTTTTGTGGTCCAGGGTCACATATATGGTAACACTTAAGTTTAGGGACCAATTCTCACTATTAACTAAATATTAACTACAACTTTTGCCTCAACAAACTCCTAACTTGCAGCTAATTAATAGTAAGGTAATTGTTAAATGTAGGTATGGGGTGGATTAAGGGATCTAAAATATGGTCATACAGAATAAGGCATTATTATGTGCTTTATAAGTACTAATAAACAGCAAATATGCTAGTAATATGCATGTTCATAAACAATCAATAGTGAGAATTGGCCCTTAAAATAAAGCGTTACCATATAAAGTACATATATTTTCATCCATTATGGTTCAATCTTCTAGTCAACTCAGTGTGTTTTAATTTGTTGTGAAAGGACAATGACATCAAAAGTCTTGCTAATTGTTCTAGGATTGGTTTAATAACAAAACTTTGCACTAAAAAAAAGATGCTCTGGGTCCAAATATAGCATAAATATCCCATAGAAAATGTCTGAATCTTTTTCCTTCCAGTCTACAATTGATTTTGGACCCCTAAAGTGAGTATTGCATTTGAGTCGGTGTCTCTAGGGAGCTACTTCAATATATTTTTGTGCTAATGTTGTTTTTCTTTTGATGTAAAATATCATTATGTTCTGCTCTGAAATCACTGTCACTGAAGCCAAAAAATCTTTGGTTTAGTGACCTCAACAGACCATCCAAATCAGAGAAACAAATACGATTTACCACAAAAATAAAAAAGTTAAATACTCATAGATTGGAAAGATAGTTCCAGAAAATGACTCCACAGTAAAAATAGCGGCATTATCTTTTGGATCCGGAAATAGGATGAGGGTCCAGACACAACAGTTGTGTCCTTACCAGCAGCGCTTTCAGGGTCAGAGCCAGTTAACCGCTCACAGCTGACTACTCGCTATTTAAACACCATGAGCAAACTATTTTCTGCGGTATCAAAAGGAATGATCAGTAGATGTAAGCATAGATGGTGTATCAAAGGCTACCAAGAAAAGGCCAGTGAGAACAGTTATGCATTGAGATGGAGGACTAAAGATTATTTGATGAGGTTTGTCGGTCTTACATAACGCAGCGGTAATACGGTGCACTCCAAGGGTGAGGATGACGAGACCTAAATGCTGGACTGAGTACAAGCTGGCACTAAAAACCGCTAGTCTGTTAACCTAGTCCTTCCATACAGTCATCTTCCAAATCTAGTTCACAGCAGTCGGCGAAACAGGGAATCAAACTAGCGATGATTAAAAAGGCCAGAATCAAAGATATGCTTGCTACCTAAAATAATAACAAATAAAAACATGACAAACTTATATATATATATATATATATATATACAGTGGTGTGAAAAAGTGTTGGCCCCCTTCAAATTGAACTCAAGTGTGATAAACCACAGTTTTAAGAGGGGGGCAAACACTTCTTCACACAGGGTCATGTAGTTTTGGATTTTGTTTTCCCTTAATAATAAAAACCTTCATTTAAAAACTGCATGTTGTGTTCACTTGTGTTATCTTTTACTAATCTTTAAATTAGTTTGATGATCTGAAACATTAAAGTGTGACAAACATGCAAAAAAATAAGAAATCAGGAAGGGGGCCAACACTTTTTCACACCACTGTACATATGCACATATACACTACAAACACATTTTTAGAAGTAATAATTTATAAACTTTATAAATAATTTTGCTACCGTAAAAAGTTTGGGGTTAGATTTTTATTTTATTTTTTATTTTTTAATAAGTAAATATTTTTATTCAGCAAGGATACATTAAATCGATCAAAAGTAACAGTAAGGACATTTTTAGTGTTACAAAAAATTATATTTCAAATAAATGCTGTTCTTTTGAACTTTTGATTCAAAAAAGAATCCACAAAAATATGAAGTAGCAGAACAGTTTTCAACTTTGATAATAAATGTTTCAGAGCATCAAATCAGCATCTTAGAATGATTTCTGAAGGATCATGCGACACTGAAGACTGGAGTAATGATGCTGAAAATTCATAGCTTTGCATCACAGGAATAAATGACAGAAAACCGTGATTTAAATTGTAATAGTATTTCACAATATTACTATTTTTAATACATTTTTGATCAAATAAATTCAGGAGAGCATTTATTTATTTATTTTAAAAATGAATGTGTACAATATATAATATTATATCTCTCTCTCAATAGATATAACCTGTTGTTGCAGTAGAAAACTCCAGAAATATAAAAGAACACAGTTAATAAGAGCTATATTCGGCAGGCTAAAATGCTTTATTCACTGACTGACAACTTATCTGACATGAGGCCAAGTGGCCAAACACACTTCAACCATAAACTCATTCCAACAAGAGGTTAAAGGTTCCAGAAAATACACTAGTAAATTTATTTGCTTGCATTCCTTAACGACATTAAATTCAGTGTGAGGAGAACAATAAAAACAGCCCAGATCAATTAAGATTTCTCATTTGGTGTCAAAGTCATGACATAAGGGTGAGTTCATATTGAACAGAATTGTCATTTTTGTGTGAACTATTCCTTTAAGGCTCATATTCGCAGTGCCAACGAGAGTGTGAGGGATGGGCTGCATGGGAAATGTGTGAAGGGTCAGTTGCTATGGTACAAGAGGGAACCGGAGCTGATGCAATGAGTCAACACATGAAGGACCCGAGAAAACAGGCACAGGAGAGGTTTGTTTTGACCTGTTCGCTACCAGATCCATCACGCTCAGACTGAATTCAACCAGAAACTATCAGCACGTGTCCCTGACGTGACGCTAAGAGGATTTCAGTTGTTTGAGGGATCATTTGTGCGTACTACTCTGATGGTTTGTGCAAATAACATTTGTGACATTTGCTGTGCTCCATGAATTCACCTACTGACGCTGAATGTACAAGAACACAAAGTTGATTAAAAGAACACAAAGATGATTAAAAGGTCCATTCATTGAGTGATTTGGCACACAGTGTTCAGAAGTACGTGCAACATTGCCATGAACGCTGTTGTAAGATGTGTATGCGAGTCAAAAGGGAAGTAAATAATCAGAATATTGGCTGCACTGAATCACAACCGTCCAATACAAAGGATTTAGGTCCTGTTCACACAGGAATGAAACAAAAAAGAAATTCAAGTCCATTTGGCTCCAAAAATCTCAAGAATCACATGATTTCCGAACAAAGTTCTTGTGCATTTGTGTGTGTGTGCAGGGTGCTTCCCTCTTGTTGTAAAATGTAAAATGCGTAAATTGCCATCTCACCGTAAAGCCTGCTAAGAATTAGGGTGCCGCACGTACCTAAAAAGACATTTCGCAAGATTTCTTGGAGAATCGGAGTAGAAGGGAAATATTTTCCCACTTCACTGAAGCTCTTAAGTGGTGTTACACAGTCTGACAATGGTATTAAAATAATAACTGCCGTCATGAATTACAAAACGGAAATCCTGCTAAGCCACCACCTCCCCGAGTGAACAACAAGGCCCTTTAGACAAAGCTTTTGTTCTGCGGGAAATGACGGAAAAGTACCACTTCGCTACATCAAGGAGAATTTTAATGATTTTGATAAAGAATATCTCTTTGGTTTTGAGACTTTAGTCTTTGCAACTTCAGGGATCTTATCTATGCACAATCAGCTTGTAACACTCCAAAGAGAAAGGAAAACTTGAAATCGCATCATATGACCCCTTTAATCAACAGGTTCAAACATCACAAGAACATTCTTGAGATGTAAACACCGGTAAGCAGGCACAGAAGTATGCAGTAAGCTGATATTTGGCACAAAGGCGAGATTGCGGGATTTCGGTTCCTTTCAAGGGCCCACAGGAAGATGTAAGGTCCACATATACGTACAGAAAGTGACAGCAAGCTGACAAGACAGCTAGATCAACTGAAATACTGTACTGTTTACTAAAATCCAGGTTTAATTATTGGAAGGCTCCTCTGTCGGATGAATATTACAATTACAGTTTTCTAATCCTCATGCAGTAACTGCTCCTAAAATTTCTCAATTGAAGATAATGTTAGTCTTAAAGGGTACAGTGGAACCAGGTGTTGGGTTTGATAACATCAGCTCTGAAAAAGAAAGTCATTCCAGAGATGGAGCAAGTTTTGTTGAAAGATTATGAAGACAAACATTTTCATTGGAATAATGTAAACTGATTAACTGAACACCGTAACACCATTCAATATTACTTAGCTTGCTTGCTGGACTGTTTGAGATGACATTTACCCCAGACCGTGTTACATAAGTGTGTCAGGTATACAGACCCTCTCACATCAATTGTTCTTATTGACATATACGCTTATGGCGTCTGTGTAAGAACAAAAATCTATTTTGGACAAGTGACCACATTTTCAAGCATGTTGAACCTGTATGAAGAACCAGTATCTGAGAAAATGCAAAGTTCACCCAAAAAAAGAAAATTGGAATATGTTCCTATACAAGCACTTTCCCTACAATACATTTAGTGTAGTAAAAAGACAAGCTTACTGAACTTGATTTTGTATTAGAATTAACATTACTTGTGTCTTATGTTAATGACTCAGCTTAAAACCCCATAACCTGATTATACAAAAGTAGTTTAACATCTGGCATGCAAGAGTCATCTAACATCAGCTGAATGGTAAAAACTCATGATGAGTCACTAGCATCATATTCCCTCTCAGTTTACAACATATTACAGAGCCATAAAAGGACAAGGGTGAACAGGGAAAAAGGATAATTTATCAATGCTATAATTTAACAAACTGATAAGAGGACATTTTGAGTGCTTGTATATTTAGATTGCAAAGTTCAGTCACAGATAGGAATGATCTAAGAATGACACCACTTTTTAGTGTGAAATGTTAATCTTAAAATTGAAATTACTGAGAAAAAGGGGAAAAAAACATGGAGATCTCTTTATAAGCTTGTTAAATTAAGGCTACGTCCACACGAAGCCAGAGCTTTCCCTATCTGATCCTTTTTTTCTCCCTCGTCTCAAGAAATATCTGCGTCCACACGAAACCATAAAACCGACACAAAACGATGTAGTATACATGCCAGACCAGCATGTGGCACTGTAATTCTGCCACAGAGATACACTAAAAACGGAGAAGAAGACTTGGACTATGCGCATAAACCTTGAGCACGGTCTACAAACGAACATGGAACAATACATTTATTAATCTGTGTTAACGTTAGTTAATAAAAAGACAATTGTTCAGTGTTTGTTCATGTTTTTATTGCTGTTAAATGACGTAGCGGTGTCTGACTAGGGGCGAGACGTGGGCTGATGACGTCATCGTTTCAGAAAATATACGGATTCGCTGTCCACACGAAAACGCAAGGACGGCGTTTTCAGATTTATCCACTCTGGGACCCGGTTTCAAAAAATATCGGTTTCACTCTCCCAAAACGCCGGATCCGTGTGGACGAAACGCCTATATGATACAAAATGTATGCGTATACAGCTAAACGCGTCTCCGTGTGGACGGGGCCTCAATTGTTCAGTGACATGCTCAGGCTCCATCATGGTGAGAACAGTTATCCATTTATCGGTGTCTTATGATCAGGATAGGGGAAATATTGGTAAGTACAGTGAAAATCAAAAATAATAAATAAATACATACATAACCCACACACAAGTAGGCTGTGGCAGCTTAGATAAGAATTTAAGAGTTTTTAATGCTGTTAAACAACCGTGTGCAGCTGATCTCGTCTTTTCTAGATTTCATAGGATTATTGTCTGGTTTGAATCTTTTAACTTTTTTTGGCATTTCTGTAGCCCTGCAGTAAAGATAAAGGACACAACCTAAAGCAGGTAATTAACCTGCATACATAGGTATAGTTTAACATATTGATAAGATAACATTTCAGATGATTATATTTGTATTATGTACTGTTGTGCTGCTCAACATTTTTACACACAGTACATGGTATATACAGAACAGTTCAAAAGTTTGAGGTCAGTAAGAATTATTTTTAATAAATGTTTTTTTTTAAGATTTTCTTTTTAAGAAAATTTTAAGATTTCAATTTTTTTTAAATGCTGTTTTTTTGACCTTTCTAATCAAGAAACCTGAAAATATATCCCGGTTTCCACAAAAATAGCACCACAACTGTTTTCTGCATTGATAATAATAAAACGTTAATAGTAATAATGTTTCTTGCACAGCAAATCAGCATATTAGAATGATTTCTGAAGGATCATGTGACATTGAAGACTGGAGTAATGATGCTGAAAATTTAGCTTTGCATCACAGAAATAAATGACATTTTAAAATATACTCAAATAGAAAACAGTTATTTTAAATTGTAATAATATTTCACAATATTACTGTCTTTATTGTATTTTTTGATCCAAAAAATGCAGCCTTGGTAAGCATGCATAAAATAATATAATTAAAATAAATTAAAATTTAATTAAAATAAATAAATAAATAAAATTTAAAAAAATAATTAAATAAATAACGTTCACACAGCAGTAAATGTCCATGCAAAGCGCACTGACCTGTTGAAGGTCTCTGTAGATCTGGCAGGGCTTGCGGTCCGAGGGCTTAGGTTCATGCCGTCAGCGCTGGAGCTGATGCTCCGGTCTGGAGAGTGTGGAAGAAACTGAGCTCTAGCACCCGAGCTTCTGTCTGGAAGATGGGTCAAAGGCCTGGAGACGGGATCACCAGAGGGAGCCGGCTGAGGAAAAGATCTCGGCACAGCCTCTGTCTTTATCTTCTTCACCTGAAAGACAGAAATCGAAAGAAAGATGAAGACAGAGGGACAGAAATGTAGATTCATTACAAGAACACCCATTAGTTTGATGACCCCAGGAAGCACCAACATGAAGATAGTTATACAGCACAATAACAACTTAGCTCACATTTGTCTTACCTTTCTAACCGATAAAGGCTGTACATGCCGGAAACCAGTTGAATAAGTGTAATAGCTAAAAAATCTCACACGCACATGAGCCCAGTCAAATTCAGATCGATCCACTGCCACTTAATGATGCAAATGATAAACAGACCTTAAACTATAAGGTTTAATTCAAGACTGCAGCAAACATTGCCACCATTATCCTAGGACCACAACTGTGTTTGGCCAGAAGGGAGTCTGAATCCAAACTTTTGAGCATTGATTTGTGAATAACAGGCCAATCTCGTACAGCAAAGTGGTAGAGATGACCAAATTTAACTCACAAAGCAAATGAGATCATGTAACAAAGTCATGTAAAACGAAGACTACAAAAGGATTAGATTGACCTTCAACGCACTTAGTCCTGAAGGCACAGACGGTCAGTAGGTAATGGCTTTGACTACGGTAAAGAGGACACTATCGATCGCAGCCCACGTGGGAAACATTTAAGGCACAGTAACTAAGCGAAATCTGGACATCGATACACTAATGTGTTAATGATGCAAACAGCACCGGAAAATCATTGTTTTATTGAGTTGTGCGTTAAACGCTTTCGACTGACTGTTTATAGAAGGGTCGAAGCACTAACGTCATGCAAAAGCACAGGACGCTGTGGTGTGATCTTTAAGATGTTAGACATTAATTATAAGTTAAATTTCAGTCAGCTCGTCCCACAAACATATGGCTTTAGAAGCTTTGGAATATAGTGCACAGATAATATAAACTTCTTTTATGTCAATTTTGGCCCCAGTACTCATTCACTTACACTATTGTTCAAAAATTTGGGATTAATAAGATTTTTTTTTTTTTTAAATAAGCCTCTGATTCTCACCATGGTTGCAATTATTTGATCAAAAATATAGTAAAAACTGTAATATTGCGAAATATTATTACAATTCAAAATAGCTGTTTTCTATTTGAATATATATTTCAAATCTAATTTATTTCTGTGATGTAAAGCAAAATTTTCAGCATCATTACGCCAGTCTTCAGTGTCAGAAATCATTCTAATACATGGATTTACAGCTCAAAAAAATTTCTTATTATTATCAATGCTGAAAACAGTTGTGCTGTTTAATTTTTTTGTGTAAACTAGGATTAATCAAAAGAAGGTTTAAAAGAACAGCATTTATTTGAAATAAATAAAAATCTTTGGTAACATTATAATCAACTTACTGTGTACTTGTTGAATAAGTTAATTCATTTCTTTAAAAAAATAAATAAATCTTACTGACCCCAAACTTGGTGAATGGTAATATATATTACATTGAAGAGGGTGGCCATATTCTATAAAAATTCACTTTTTGTGTTAAATAGAAGACAGAAAGTCTTACGGTGTTTGAACGATATGATGGTTTGCATTATTTTTGGTAAAGTACACAAAATAAAACTTTTCCCTGCTCTTTGCTGAAACCTTGCATCATTTCTTACCTTCTTTTTTCTCAGTGTTGGTATAGGATTGTCTGGACTAGACTCGCTTTCTCTAAACGGGTCTGTATTGTCAACTGGAGTGCATTGAGTGACCTGACAAAAACACAGAGAAATCAGTCTACAAATCTTAAAATTACAGTTTTAATAAACAATGCATTCTGCGTTTACAGTAAACTGTAAAACCTGATTCTAAAAACAACTTCCAGAATAACAGAACTAGATTTTTACTAGACGTTTTCTGTATAACGTGAGTGGTGCTTTTCTACTGGATCTGTTAGCCAACTTTAACACCCACTAAATTTAGAAACAAGAAACCGCATGATTTGAGGTATCAAGAGTTTAATAAAATAGTTTCATATTTTTTTCCCCCTCACCTCTCATAACAAACCTGACTCCCTAGTTACATTTCAACAGAGACTTATAACACACCTACCAGATTCACCTTCTTGTTGATAATGCAGTCACCTCGACTGAACAGTAAACAAAACACTCAAAACAAATTATGTAAGCATATATAGAGATGGTAGCTCCAGCTGACACCATCAAATATCAATGGTTAGTGTAGTGGTAGCTCCTTCGCAACCAAAGATGCGGTCCATTTTTGTAAACTCTTTGAACCTCCAAGACCATCCCAATGCAAAGTTCAAGTAAACGTAGGACAAATAAGGTCTCTGTAACCTTTGACCCATGTTCTATGAAGGTTAATGATAAGCAAACCATTTCCTTCATGATTCTGTGATCGTGTGTTTGCTATTGATCAGCACAACAGAAAAAACTAATCATAAAACTTAATGCCAAGTACGATGTAATCCTCCAAATCAAGGAAATGTTTAAAGGGGTCATAGGATGCTATATGCACTTTTACAAGTTGTTTGAACTGAAATGTGTGTTGGCAGTGTGTGTACACAACCACCCTATAATGATAAAAATCCACCCATCTGGTTAAATGTTTTCCCCTTTCTCAAATCGAGCCGATCTCAGATGCCTGTCTGTGTGACGTCACACAGACAGGCCCCTCCCACGATAGTTTGACTGACAGTAGTGTTTCAGCACAGACTGGACTGGCGTCTTACCTTAG